AGGTAACACATCTGAATTTTTCCAGATAACGGAGACAGTTTCCCCAATTATGTCATGTTCCACTTCTATGTTCACTGTCTATTTACAATCCACTATTAAAAAAATATCTTAAGCCACCTCCAGTCACACATAACTGTAATGAGCTGGGGTAATGATAACAGACATGGATCTGCATCCATTAAAAAGGTGCAGATATCATCCATCTCCAGAATGCATTGGAATGTGCTTGTTCCTATCCATAGCATAGCTAGTCAGCTGTGGGCGTCTAGAAGAAAGTGTGGAAATACTGGCTTTTCAGTGGGGCTTAGTGGCTTCCTTATCAAGTTGTGAATGGTTTTGAACAGCTTTAAAAGGCGTATCCCAGGTACATAACCTACTTAGAAGTCTAACACATTGGACAGTTTCTTTTAAACCTGGTGTTTAAAAGAACCTCCCTGACTTGGAAGGTACCAGATATTTCTTAATATGTACTTGTCCTGATAGTCCATCTCCTTGGGAATAGTTCCAAACCTTTTTAATGTTGTTGCTAAAAGTTGTATCAGGAAACAGAGGAGAATGTTTATTGCATAAGATTTCAACATCACATTACTAATATATCCCTTAGTTCAGGGGTCCTCAAACTTTTAAAACAGAGGGCCAAGTCACAGTCCCTCAAACTGTTGGAGGGCCGGATTATAATTTGAAAAAAAAAACATGAATGAATTCCTATGCACACGGCATATATCTTATTTGTAGTGCAAAAAACACTTTAAAACAATACAATAATTGAAATGAAGAACAATTTTAACAAATATAAACTTAATAGGTTTTCAAGGGGAAGTGTGGGCCTCCTCTTGGCTGATGAGATAGGATTGTTGTTGTTGCTGCTGTTGTGTGCATTCAAGTCATTTCAGACTTAGGTTGACCCTGAGCGAGGGCCAGATAAATTACCTTGGAGGGCCGCATCTGGCCCTCGGGTCTTAGCTTGAGGACCCCTGCCTTAGTTTAACAAATATAACCAAAAAGATTATATAATATGATCTTTCCTGAATATCCTCATAGGCACAAAAGGATCATCCAATGGGATTTGGAAGGCTTGCCATTACATTAATAGGAGGACTCAAATACATTTGCGTGTCATTTCTATAGGCTTTCAGTGACCCAGCTTGAACTCTAGACCAGTGGTTCTCAACCTGTGGGTCCCCAGATGTTTTGGCCTTTAACTCCCAGAAATCCTAACAGCTGGTAAACTGGCTGGGATTTCTGGGAGTTGAGGACCACTACTCTAGATGGAAATACATAAATCCTTCAGATCACAATGAAATGCAATTCCTATCATTCCTCATCACTAAATGAGCTAGCTAGGGTTAATGGGATTACAGCTGAACATCTAATTTTATTTGGAAGATGCTGTTCTGCCTCTTTCTGCTGTTTTTTTCCCCTCTAATTAAAAGTTTATTCTGGAACTCGTACAGATTTTACTATTTCAGTTTGAGCAAAAAACCCAAAAACAAATCTGAAATAAAACAGAAACCATGGGAAAAGGGAACAGCACATTAACTATCTGGAATCTAACAACCAAGAAATTAGTTGTATATTCTTAAGAAAAGTTTGAATGGCTGTTTCCTGAATAACAGCCCATGGTGCCCCTCATAAAAATATATTTGAGTGTCAAAATTATATGGACTATGCCAGTTTCCTTGGGAGCACTAAATAGATCTCTTCTGATATTGCCCTGTGTTTATATAGCTGGAAGCTAAGGTATTTGTTAACATGCTGCCAAATTTCTCACCAATCATAAACCTCCCATGCAGCTGGGTAACATTTCCACCCATTAACCAGGTTGGTTAAGATCAAATCTAAAATCTCCTTGTGGCCTCTTTCATCTTCCGGACTATTAAAATGTCTTTAATTCCCAACTAAACAATTCAGATCAGCACTCAGACTAGACAGATCTGAGTGGAGCAGTAGAGAAAGAAGAAGATGATGCACTAGAGCAGGGGTCCCCAAACTAAGGCCTGCGGACCGGACGCGGCCCTCCGAGGGCATTTATCCAGCCCGTGGGGTGTGGAGAAGGTGGAGAGGTGGGCTGCGAAGCGGCGTTGAAGCCGCTTCACCCCCGCCTCAGGCTTCGCTTCTCCTGCCTCCGGGATAAGGCCTAGCCTTATCCCGAAGGCTGGAGAAGGGGGGAGGCTCGGGGTGAAGCGGCGGGCTGCACCTGGAAGGAGGCTGGCTGGTGGGGGCCGGGACAGGCATTTAAGGGCCCCTCTGTTGCAGCTGCTGCTGCTGCAGCCACTGCACGCTGCAAGGACTTCTCTCTCTCCCTCGCCATGCTCGCGCTGCTCTTCTTCCTCCTGCTGCTCCCCGTGGCCTCGACGGCTGCTTGCCCGCTTCTTGCTGCTGCTGCCCGGGGCTCTGATTGCAAGGCATTGTCCTCGTGCGCGGAGGCCAAGGGTTGTGCGGAGCTGGCGCGCGTGCCGGGGGAGCCCTGTGGCGTCTCCACTCCGGGATGCGCCCCAGGATTGCGCTGCATGCCGTGGCCAGGAGAGAGGACTCTGCTCCACAGGAGAGAGGACTCTGCTCTGGTTAGAAGGAGCAGCAGCCAGGAGGAGTACCAGCAGCAAGACCCACCACGCAGATAGAGGCCTTTTGCCTTCTTCCTTCCAGCAAGCCGGGTCCTGACTTTGGAAGAGAGATCTGCCAGGTTACTTTGGCTGCAGATGAGAAAGGGGAGCCACCCCACAGTCGCCACCCAATGCCTTGGGGAGGCGGCGGGCGAAGCAGCCCCAAAGCTGCTTTGCCCCCCGCCTCAGCCTTCGCTTCTCCTGCCTCCGGGATAAGGCCTGGCCTTATCCCAAAGGCTGGAGAAGGGGGGAGGCGGGGGGCGAAGCAGCTTCGGGGCCACTTTGCCCACCGCCTCCCCAAGTTTATATTTTACTAGCCGTCCCCTGCCACGCGTTGCTGTGTCCCACATGGGGGGTTCTGTGTGGGAGGTTTGGCTCAATTCTATCATTGGTGGGGTTCAGGATTCTCTTTGATTGTAGGTGAACTATAAATCCCAGCAACGACAACTCCCAAATGTCAAGATTCTATTTTCCCCAAACTCCACCAGTGTTCACATTTGGGCATATTGAGTATTTGTGTAGAGTTTGGTCCAGATCCATCATTGTTTGAGTCCACATGTAGGTGAACTACAACTCCAAAACTCAAGGTCAATGCCCACCAAACCTTCCCAGTATTTTCTGTTGGTCATGGGAGTTCTGTGTGCCAAGTTTGGTTCAATTCCATCGTTGGGGAGTTCAGAATGCTCTTTGATTGTAGGTGAACTATAAATCCCAGCAACTACAACTCCCAAATGACAAAATCAATTTTTTTGAGTGAAGGACATACATTGGGTTGTTAGGTGTCTTGTGTCCAAATTTGTGTCAATTCGTCCAGTGGTTTTTGAGTTCTGTAATCCCACAAACGAACATTACATTTTTATTTATCTAGAAGTGTGGGGTTTTTTTTTGGGGGGGGGGGGTTGCACTGCAAATAAGATATGTGTTATGTGCATAGGAATTCATTCATGTTTTTTCAAATTATAATCCGGCCCTCCAACAGTTTGAGGAACTGTGACCCGGCCCTCTGTTCAAAAAGTTTGGGGACCCCTGCATTAGAGATTAAAGATTCAAATGACTGCTGGGTTTTTCTTTGTTTTAAATAGTGGGTGGATGATACTACTAGCCTTCCTGGCTAGTAGGAAGAAAATACTAATTTTACAACTTGGACTCCAAGAAGTTGTAAGATACAAAAGAAAATCACATAGACACATGTTAAAATGATGTCAAATAAGCTATAATATATAAAAAAATTAAAACTTGAGAGTGGATCAATACAAGTGTAAGCCATTCCGTTTTTTCCCTAGCAGCCAATTAATTGCTGAAAACCTATTCAAGTTAAAACAACCCCTCTTATCTCAATGACAAAATGTGATAGGAATGCTCTTTTTAAAGCAAATATTCTTGCGCCCCACCTTCCACTGGATCTGCTTCAAGTGAATCCTTTTTTAAAATTTCTCTGGCACATAATTAAAACATAATATTGCTAAAACCATAGATACAACACAAATATGGGCTACAGTCAGATAGTAGATTAGATTAAATTTGAATGACTATATTTGGGTGGAAGATATATTCAAAAAATTTAAAAATGACGGAAAGCCACATTTCTTGAGGGATAAGAAACCCTCATAGTGAGAAATATGGATCAGTGGGAATCTTTGCCATTGGAACTGAAAAAAATGTCAAACTCCTGCCCCCCATTTTTTTCATAAAACCACATTCAGAAATATTTTCTTCAAAGAAAACAATATAAACTTTTGCAACAGCTAAAAGTTTTCTGCACTACAAAAATATTGCATAGTATCAATTTTGTTTAGACTAAATCTTGAACTGCACAGTTTTCAAAGACTTTCTTGCACCAGGAAGAAATTGACTAAAAATACTCCTTTCAAAAGGAAAATTAGTGAGGATTTACAACCTTCCAGTTCATATAGAGTGAGAACGAGAATCTACAATGTTCAGTATACTTCTAACAATGCTACAGACGTGATTTGAAGAAGTGGCCACAACGTCTCTTAACATCCCATGATGAAACTGCCTCACAGCAGTGTGGTTTTCATCACCTCCCTCTGACTCTCAATCAGATATTTTAAAATATACTTCCTAAAGCCTTCCAATTCACTCACTGGCCCATCTCTTTCTTCTAACATGGCACAGATAGTTTCATAATTGGTTGTTCTTTTTTTTACCTGACTTTTTTCCATCACAAATGTCACCTTGCAAAAACTGAGGTGAGCCAATTATGCCAGGATCTCACCCTTGTAAGTAAAGCAATGTCTTTATCAGCTAGCCCCATAGTGTCCTGGTCACAGTAATACATATTGTTCCACTGCCAATGGTATCATTCATATTTGTCTGAGCAAGTAAAAACATTGTGAGCTGATAATTTAATAACCTGTATGCCTGACATTCCTGTAGGACTACAGAGTGAATATTTTTTTGAGACAGCAATGGAACGACTCCCGTCTTGCCTACAGTGAGTATCCTGATGACTCCTTGGATTTGGATCCTTCCATGTTGGACTCTATTTGGAAACCTGATCTATTCTTCGCCAATGAAAAGGGTGCAAACTTCCATGATGTAACCACAGACAACAAACTTCTGAGGATCTCCAAAAATGGGAAAGTGTTGTATAGCATCAGGTAAACCTCTTTCTCTGTCTTGCCTCTCTTCTCCTCTTAATAAGCTCCTTTGGGCTTATTATTATTATTATTATTATTATTATTATTATTATTATTTCTCACCCACCTCTGCTTGAGGTTTAAAAACGTGTCTTAGATCACATTGTTTTTATATTCTATTCTTATATTCTATTTTTTCAGTTTGTACTCTTTTTAAATTAGAAAGTCAGGTAGCACAACAAAACAAGCTAGTCTTGCCAAAAACATGAAAGAGTCTAACAAACTCACAGTGTTCAGTTATAATATATTTTATCATTATCTAATAGAACAATCTTTGAACCGCCACCCCCACCCCCCGCCCCAAAAGGTACCTGGTTCTACCTGTCCTAGATAGATTTCCATACTTACACAATGTATTTATTTTTTGCATTTTTATTTAGTATAGAGACACACACTACACTAGAGTGGTTCTGGTTATGCTATCACAAGCTTACATTGATGAGATCTGATTAAGCAAGACACATGCAGAGAATCAGAATGATAAAGAGCCTTAAAATAGCAAGGGAGAAGCATGTGTTGTAAAAATGATCACTGCAGCATGCATTTCCTATGCTCCTTAGCTACCAAGCTTCATTTGGGTTATTAATAGCTTAATATTTGCAGTGAAGCTCAAAGATGGAAAGTCCACTTACTGTTAACAGCGAAAATTAATCATCATTTGAAAAATTCCTCCTTTTCTTGCTGTTTTCTCCTGCTTTCCACGAGCTGCTTAATTGCTTAGTGAGCCGTTAGTGGCTATGATTTGAGATGGCATGAAATTCTTCTTAGATGGAGTATGAGTTTGAGGAGATTCCTCCACGCCAGATGGTTGACATATTCTCCAAAATTCCCCCAACAACCCAACCTCTGTTCTTCCCTCTCCACATGCAAAAAGCACTCGACTATTGTTTCTATTACCTGTTTAGCCCTGGAATACCACACAGTTTTTCTCTTGCCAAGAAGCCCCATAATATGGTCACCTTAGAGTCACTATAAGTCAGAAATGACTTGAAGGCTCAGAACAACAACAATGCTAGATGTAAGTATGGTTGATGAAAAGAACATTTGGGGTATAGATGTGGGAATCCCTAGATAAAAAGATTTGAAGACAGAGACAAGATTATGAAATATCCAGACATTCAATTTGAATTGTTGTTCCAGTAAGATGCTCTGAGAAAAATTCCAATCAGACTGACAAAAAACCCAAATGATATTGCAATACTTAGATTCACAACAGCACAACTACGAAAAGTGACACTATTCTTGTACTGATCTCTCCAGTGACTGGTGATTAATTCCTAGATTCTTGAATAGATTATGAATCATTGAGGATCCATTTGGTAACACCTGGGAAATGGAAGGGAGGGCATTATTGTTCTCTAAGAATTTGCTTTTCTTTGCGGTGTTCCTACTTCCCCAGTCCCCTTTATATTATTGGGCTTTACCTGTATTTGCTGGTTGTTAAGCTGTGTAGCTATGTGGCTCTGTAGCCAAGGATCCCTGTTAATGAATTGTGAAGATGTGTAACTGGCACCGACAAGAGTGTCTCAATGCAAATTGAGCTTTACTAACGCATATCAGTGCTTCCTAGCCAGTTTCCAATTGATGTTCTCTGTGCATCAGTCCTCGTTGTGTGTTGGGTTCTACTGTACATTGGTCTTGTTGTACATCAAGTCCCACTGTGCATCAGCAATGTTTCCAGCTCCGCTACATAGCAACATAACAACAGCCCTTGCTGAATTCTGATGTTGCAAAATTATTCAAGTCTATTTCCCACTGTCATGAGTTGACTTATGAAGATATAATTCTCCTAGTGAGTTTCAGCTAATAGGAACTGAAATAATGACATTTAGGAACTGAAATCACAGCATTTCATGAAAATATTTGCCATACAACTTAGTAGGCTACTATTTTTAGAGTAAAAATACCATTACCTTACTTTCTGAGTGAGGAAAGAAAAGAAATGCTGCTATATCTATTGAGTCCAGTAACACTGGCCCACTTCAGTACCTTGTGAAAAACATGGTTTTAACTTTGGATATGCCTTGAATGTATTTGAATGGTTTTTAACTGTGAATTTTTAAATACTATTTATATATAATGCTGCTTTAATATTTGTATAATTGTATATTTTAAATTCTTTTATGTTAAGCCGCTTTGAGCCCCCTTCCGGGGGGGGGGGGGGGGGGGATAAACTGGGGCACAAATAATAATAATAATAATAATAATAATAATAATAATAATAATAATAATAATAATATAGTAAAGGAAACCTGAATGATCCCAAGACCATAGGGCATAACAAACATGTTGTTGATTAACCAGCACTCTTATCACCTAATTCATCCTAAGAGAAATGTAATGTTTTGTGTTTGCTTGAGTGACATCAGAGCCGTCTTACTGGAGGCTACAGTGCAGCTGAGTGCTATTTGGAGGATGGGTGGGTAATTTTCCTGACATTTATCCATGCTGCAAAAGTAATATTTCAGACTGTCATATCAAATTTGTAAAATTCAGAAGCCTGAATGAAAGTTAATCTGAAACAGAGTAAGCATAAATCATATTTTTGTGTTGAACTGAAAGCATATCATCTCCTAGTTGTGTTCTAGTGAGCATAAATTCATCTTTCATGGATAATCAGCATGAAGCATGAACCCTGGCACCTTCCATAACCATCAAAGATTTAGCTTCACTAAATTTAAAACTATGTTATGATACCTTCCAATTGGTTCAGATGAACAAATTTGTAAAAGCCAGTGACTTAATAGCTTGGATTCAAATAGAAAGAAAGTTGTTACCAAAACATTGCTAGGGAAGCATAGTTTCAACTAAAATGTTTTTTTAAAAAACAAACAAACAAACAAAAACAAAACAACTTTCTAGAATAGAATAGCCAATTTTTCATCTAGAGAATGTTTATTATATGGTTCAGGTATTTTAAAAATTATCATTGTTATACCCTTATGTCCTTTCTTAGAATGTTATTTATTTAAACAGAAAGAGAACTATAATTAATATGAAGGGTGGGAAGAGAAAGAAATATACAGAATAAAGGATTTACAGAGAGTCTCATTTATCCAACATAAACAGGCCGGCAGAATGTTGGATAAGCAAAAATGTTGGATTAAGGATTTTATTTATTTATTTATTATTTAAACTTATATGCCGCCACTCCCCTGGGGCTCGGAGTGGCTTACAAGGATGGCTAAAATCTAACAAAATTTAGACTTGTGAGTATATTGATACAATAAAATTGATATAATCTGGGCTTTGAAAAATATTTTTGTGGTTAGAACAAATAATGCATTTCTACTGAAACATAATAAATTGTGGCAAGTTCTTGGTGGTATGGGCATACCAAATCACCTTATCTCTCTCCTGAGGAATCTGTATGATGACCAAGTAGCAACAGTAAGAACTGACCATGGAACAACAGACAGTTCAAGATTGGGAAACGCGTACGGCAGGGTTGTATATTCTCACCCAACCTATTCAACTTGTACGCAGAACACATCATGCGATGTGCGGAGCTTGACAAATGCAAGGCTGGAGTAAAAATTGCTGGAAGAAACATTAACAACCTTAGATATGCAGATGATACCACTTTGATAGCCGAAAGCAAGGAGGAGCTGAAGAGCCTTCTAATCAAGGTGAAAGAAGAAAGTGCAAAAGCTAGATTGCAGTTAAACATAAAAAAACAAAGATTATGGCAACCAGACTGATTGATAACTGGCAAATAAAGGAAGAAAACGTGGAGGCAGTGACAGACTTTGTATTTCTAGGTGCAAAGATTACTGCAGAGGCAGACTGCAGCCAGGAAATCAGGAGACACTTGCTTCTTGGGAGGAGAGCAATGACCAATCTCAATAAAATAGTGAAGAGTAGAGACATCACACTGGCAACAAAGATCCACATAGTAAAAGCAATGGTATTTTCCATATTCACCTACGGATGTGAGAACTGGACCATAGGGAAGGCTGAACAAAGGAAGATAGATGCTTTTGAACTGTGGTGCTGGAGGAAATTTCTGAGAGTGCCTTGGACCGCCAGAAGATCCAACCAGTCCATACTTCAGAAATAAAGCCCAACTGCTCATTGGAGGGAAGGATAGTAGAGGCAAAGATGAAGTACTTTGGCCACATCATGAGAAGAAAGGAAAGCTCAGAGAAGACAATTATGCTGGGGCAAATGGAAGGAGAAAGGAAGAGGGGCCGACCAAGAGCAAGATGGATGGATGGCATCCTTGAAATGACTGGCTTGAACTTGAGGGAGCTGGGGTGGTGATGGCTGACAGGGAGCTCTGGCGTGGGCTGGTCCATGAGCTGGTTCTGTTCTGCCTCAGGCATTATCAGCAGCTGTTCTTAAAGCCCTTTTATTAAAAAAACAATTGGATCAATTTGTCATTATCTGAAATCATCCTCATCAACATTATGTGTCCGTTGGTATTCACCTTTTCCAAATGTTTGTTCCCAAAGCAGTTAAGATCATATCAAATGAACAGCAATACACTCAAAAATGGTAATGGGAATAATTACAAATAATCACAATGTCAAAATATTTAAAAAGAAAAACTTTGTACAGAGTAAACAAATTTACCCAGTAAATCTACTTAAATGTAATTAGAATGCTAAATAGTTGTAATACAGGAATATGAGCATAAAGGTTGAGCACCCTTACCTGGAATTTCAAAATCCAAAATACTCCAAAATCATCCACATGGGTAGTTGAGGAACCTGTTTTCTGAAGGTTCAATAAACAGAAACCTTATTTCAGGTTCAAAATTATTAAAATTACCTTTAGATAATGTGCATAAAATGGATATAACACATACTTTTTGTTTAGAATTGGGTCCTATCTTGAAGCGATGCACATATATTCAAATACAGGTATTCCAAAATCTGGAAAAAAAAATAAACAAATCCAAAATATGTCTAGTCCCAAGCATTTCAAATAACAGAGACTTAACCTGTATTATGTACAAG